GCACTTAAGATTTTCTTTAATAAACCAAAGCTAAATAAAACCAAGGAAAGGAAAAAAAAAAGAAAAAAAAAAAAAAAAAGAACCAGTGGGTTTGGACGATCATGGAGCATAATCTTGTATGGGACAGGATCAGTCTAACAAGTGAAAATACGACTAGTCATGTGTGGATGACAAGGGCGTTCTGTTGGATCAATTTGACATGGCAAAATTTAGATTTTTTAAATAGATTTGTTTTATTGAAAATTTTAAGTTCTTATCTAAATCTAATTCTTAGTTATTAATATTTCAAAAATAATATTTTTATATTGATTGTTAACGCTTTGTTCGCTTCCTAGATTCGAGTTTTTAATTTGAGATGAGATGCGATATTTTCTGAGAGCTTTTAACTGTGGCAGAAAAAGTTAGATATGACATTTTCTAAGAGCTTTTAACTGTAGAAACTTAAAACTAAAAACTAAAAACTTGAATCGGTGAAATGAACGAGGCCTTAGGTATTATATCATGAGATTTTATGTTGGATTGACTTTTGTCATGGGTACTAAAACTATTACAAAATATACCACAATGATATCACTTAAATTTGTGTAGTGAGTAAAATTATTCCTTTACTATTTTGTATTTGATTCGATATCATTAGATTTTGTGAGAGTTTGTAGTTTTTCAAGTATATATTTATGATTTTTATAAATTTTAAGTATTTTTTACTATATCATTTTTTATAATAATTTATGTCTACTGATATATGTCAATTTAAACTTAAAATATGTGGTATTCCTGTAAAATGCCCGTAATTTTGAGATGGTTTAACGAACAGATAAAGGCAAACATGAAATTTAGTTAAAACTAAGGGCATTTTTTGGATTTTATTTTTCGTTCCGTTTTCATATAACACACCATTTTTTTAGTGGTCATTGTCTCATTGAAATGTCCTTCCCCCTCGTTGTAGATTTATCAAAGTTGTTTTTCTCGCACAGTATCATTTTGTTTTTTTTGGAGATTTGAAAGTAAATGGTTGTTTTTTTAAGCATTTTTTAATAAATGACCTAAATTTTGTTATATTAGAAAACAAAAATATATCGTATATGGAAATGGTTAATCAATAATGTATTAATTTATGGTTTATCACTTATTAACCAATATCAATCAATGATTAAATAATTTAAATCAATAATTTAGTAGCTTATCCGTGATAAACTATTGATAAATCAATAATAAACTATTGGTATATAATTAAATAACTAATGTAAAAAATCAATTTATCTAAAATAAAATTCGGTCATTCACCTAAACAAAATTAATTACTTAACATGTCGTTGCCGACCATTATAGAAAAATAAATATTAATAATTCTATTAACAAATTTGTGAATGGAAAAGTCAAAAGTCAAAAATTAAAAAATACTCTAATTTACTTTCACGCCTCTTGTATCACCTTGCTCACTTCCTCTTTTTTTTCTTTTCTTTCTTTCTTACTAGTGCCATGGACGAATTCATATCAATGCAAATAATTAAAAATGAAACTCAGATATTTTTTTTTCATGCTTATAATTTGATTCTTGTGTTATGCCTATTGCTTTTCATTTTTTAATCTATATCCAAAGCTGAATTCTTTTTTCTATAATATGCAATGCAATGCTAAATCTAATTTTATATGTTTATAATGTAGGGTAACCATGTTTCAACTTTTAGCACGAAAGAAGATAGTGATTAACAAAATTTAATTACTAATTAGCTATCTTAATTTAGATGATTAATTAGGTGTGATTAAAAAAATCTAATTACTAATCAGTTATCCTAATATTAAGATAGTTAGCATAATATACAATTTCTTTTTTTTTTTTAAGTTTAACACACAAAAATCTACTAAAAGGGTAGTAAGTAAATTTATAACAGTTTATTTCGATTCTGGACATAAGTAAACACATGAATAAGATTGGAACTGATTCCGACTCTGATTCCTAGAATCTAAGTAAACAACTTATTTTAACTATGATTCCTGACTCTGATTCTTATCCACTTCGATTACGGATAATTAAATATGCCATAAACATTACCAAATGTGTTTTATATTTTTTATTTGTAAAATAAAAGCAAAATGTAGTTATTGTTTTTTATTTGAAACACAAAAGCAAAAAGTAATTCCCGGTTAGCAGGGAATGAAATTGAGCAGTTTGGTTTGGTTCAAAAAAAAAAAAAAAAAAAAAAAAACTTGATGGAACCAAACCAAGTAAAATGTAAAGTTCTGTAATTTCAAACCCAAAAGTAAAAGAAAAACGTATTTTGTTGATAGTTACATGATACGATGAATTGAAATGATGAAACTGAATTCGTTTACTTTTTTCGTCACAACATTTCTTCTTCTTCTTTCGTTTTTTTTTTTTAAACATATGTATAATAATGCACGGATTAACTTTATAAATGTTACTTAAACTATGTATCCGGGTTCGATATGTTTTTTGAATTTTTCAAAGAGTTCATTTCATTTACTATGTAAAGTCATTTAAAACAATCTTGTATTAACTTATTAGTTTCATAAATGTCTTTTAGATATTATTTATTCTGTTTCAACTTGCCCTGATATTTAAAAAAATTAGAGGATAAATTTATATTAAAATAATAGCTTAGAGGATAAGTTGTTTTAAAATCAATAGCTCAACCGGTAATATTAGGAATTACAAGAGCGAAATAGGCCACTTTCAAATTTTATTATCATGTTGAATTAAGATATATAGTTCGTGGGTGTTCATCGAATTACTCCATAATGCATCAATGATAAAAAAAAAAAAAAAAAGCAATTTACCAATTAGTTGGTTAAATAAAATAGCCAAAATCCTTTTTTACGAGATAAAATCATTTTGATACTATTTATTATAGTAAAACTTGTTGTTAATACTTTGTGTTTTAAATAATATTAAAACAGTATACACTTTTAAAGAAAGATTATTTTAATATTTTAAGACTTATTTTTAAGACGCACGATGTCCAAAATATTATTTTTATTAATTAAATAGAAACTAATAACCTTAAAAATATTTTCCAAAAACAAGTTAACTTATTCAAATTTTTTAATATTTAAATATTATAGTATTTTTAGAATTTTTTTAAAAAATTATTAATTTGTTATTAGTTAGTCAGAAAGGTAGAATGGATATTTTACATCTGAAAAATTAGTCTCATAATATTGAAAGATTATTCTTTTAAATGTGAATATACCGTTTACGAATTATTAAAACTACATAATACTAACGAGATATTTAACTATAATAAAGAGTACTAAAATGATAATATGACTTTAATTATTTTGAAGACAAGAGCCAAATAAAATAATATTTTTAGAATCTATTTATTTCACCGATTCGAATTTTACTATAGTAAAAAATTCTTAAAAACAGTCACATTTAAATTTTTTTTATTAGAGAAAAAAAACTTTCATATAAAATTACATCTCAATTCAAATTAAAAATTTGAATCAGCCAATAAAACCGGTCCTTAACAATACGTGTATACATAGGCTGATACACATACAAAAAAAGTAATTCCCATTTTTTAATTTACCGACCACCAGAGAGAAGTGACTCGGCAACGGACGACGAGCCGTGCGAAAAGGCCGTGTTCGGGGAAGACGGATAGGGCGTGGCAAAATCGGTAAACCCTTCTCCCTTAGCAAACGTCAAACCACCTGCGCAGAGTCCCAACGTGGACAAGTCCGACATTGCAATGTCCCTCTCCAAGTACTGCACCACCTGCCTTATGCTCGGCCTCACTACCGGTTCCGAATGCGAACACAGCAGCCCCAACTTCATCACCAGCTCCACCTCGTCCTCCACAAAATCCGTCCCCAAATTCGGATCTTTCGCCTCCATAATACACCCTCTACTCCAACAAGAAAACACATAATCCACCAATATCATGTCATCTGCTGAACTCCGTCCTTCTATCGGCCTTCTACCGCTGGCGACTTCGAGGAGGAACGCCCCGAAGGCGAAGACATCAGTGCTCGTTGTCGCCTTTCCAGTTCTAGTATGTTCTGGCGCGAGATATCCTACGGTTCCGACGATGTGCGTGGTTTGAGGATCGGTCCCGTGATCGTATAGCCTCGCCAAACCAAAATCCCCTAACTGGCCATTCAATTCTCCGTCGAGAAGCACATTACTCGCCTTGACGTCGCGATGAACAACGACTTGTCCCCACTCTTCGTGGAGGTAGAAAAGGCCGGCGGCGACGCCTTTTATGACTCGGAATCTCTTACTCCAATTGAGTGTCGTTTTTGGTTGATCGTAGAGGTACTTGTCTAAACTCCCATTAGGCATGTAATCATAGACTAATAGAAGTTCCCCTTTTCGGCGACAATAGCCTAAAAGGGGGACTAGATTCCGGTGTCGCAGCCGGCCCATACTAGCGATTTCGGCTACGAATTCTCTTATCCCTTGTCTTGATTCATGAGAAACTTTCTTCACAGCAATCTCTGTTTTTGTTGTGGGTAACACTCCTTTGTAGACTGTCCCAAATCCTCCACTCCCCAAAAGCTCTTTTTCCTTGAACCCCTTCGTAGCAATATACAAGTGTTTGTATTTGTACCTTTGAGGCCCATATTGAAGTTCCCAATCTTCCACCAATTCAGCAAACTTTCTCTTCCGTTTAATGAAATAAACCACCCCCAAAATTCCGACACCGATAAATGATAGACAAATCGCCGGCAATCCAATTGTCAAGAGCTTCGATTTTGGCTTCGGTTTTATCCGAGGTAGCTTCGGAAGCTCGGAGATATCAAGGTCTTCAACTTGACCATTGAGCTTAAAGCTCCAACCAAGTATGTAATGAGAAGTAGGGACAGAGCCAGTGGAGGAGGAAAAACCAACGTACATGGTTTCTTCAATTACTGAAGAAAGATCTTTAGTCAAAGATAAAAGTGGTTTTTGGGGTTTATTTTCAACATTTGCTGGAGACAAACTCGCATTAATTTGCTTTCTGGAACCATCGTAATCTATCCAAACTTTCATTGGTTGGCCACTTATTAGAGTCAAGTTTTTGAACTCACCATTTTTGTCATTATAATACCCTGCCGGAGAATATTTCTCGGACTTCAATCCGTTTAGGTCGATTCCAACATGGTTGTCGTTGATGTCGTCGATTTCCTCAAACTCGCTGCTTTTGACCGTGTCGAACTCGATGGCAAACACATGGTTGGTGGCGCTGCCGTTGTTGGAGCCGTTGAATAGGCCGAGGTATTCGCCAGGAAGACCTCCCGGGAGGCCTCTCGTCGGAGAGATCACGAAAGCAAAGCCATGGCCACTCAACGTGGCATATTCGGATCGGATGGCGAAGACAAAGGTTGTGGAGAAGGAGGAAACGGCGCCGGCTGGGGAGCTCTTGAAGGTCACCGGGTTGGGAAAGAAGGCGTGGCCTTTTTGCTGCTTTGTGTCGTTCGTGAGGCGCAAGAGGCCTGTGGCGGTGACCTCTGCAATGCCGTCGAGGGCTAGGTCGGCGGGTTTGAATCCATTGAAGGTGAAGTTGAGATCTTTGGATGAAGATGGCGTTGAGATTTGGAGTAGAAGCAAAGGAATTAGGAGCTTGGAGAACATGGCTAGGCCGTATAGAGTTTTTTCTTGTGCTATGAGTACTCTATTTTGTAATGTTGATCTACTTTGGTTTTTAAAATAAGCTAACACGTGTTAGTGTTTGACTTCTATGAGAAATTAAACATATATTATAACTATCTTATATTGTGTTATAGGTTTAATACCTGTCTGCAATTCTATCTCTAAGAGGTCTCAATTCCAAATACCTCATTTTCCTCATTTTTCATAGGAAAAAATTTGAGGTCAAGACCTTAATTAATAATCTTAAAAAATAATCCCCCATCCCTCAAAGTTAAAACAACAACAATAACAATAGTAATCCACCCCACGCTCACTAAAATAAATAAATAAATAACATCATTATAAGTTTTATTTCGATAGACGTGAACAAAAAGTTGGAAAAGAAATTACCACTATAAAAAAAAAAGTTAAGAAAATTTTCAAGAATGTCATAAAAAATCAATATTTTATTTTTGTCATCAAAATTTATCATTTATGCCATTAATATTCTTTCAAGATATCTTTTATAATCTGTTAGAATATTTTTTTCTTGATGAGATATTTTTATTATTTTATCCTAATACATTTCATATACTACTAGAATCTTTTTATGGCATAAAGTAATAGGATGATTAAAAACAATGGTTATTTTTATAATTTTCTCAAAAATTTAAATTATGATTCAAATCTTTATAACAAACGGGTTAACTATGTATGCTACTCTTTATGAATGATGATCTTTTCTAAAATAAGTGGATAAAATTTTCTGTCTTTCAGAAAAATTATGACCACTAATTTTTGTGTTTCAGTCGAAGATATTATAGAAAATGACATTGACGCTGGTGGGGAACTTTTCTAAACAACAAGTACAGAAATTTACACTTACAGCTTGCAACATGCATGGGTCATATTTAGAGTTAGGACCACTGTACTAAAAAAGACGAAACAAGTATTTCATATTCATCAATCACCATGGTCTATTTTTTTATGTTTTAAAAATTTAAATCGATGAATTAAATGGTTCGTAATCGACCAAAAGAAAAGTCAAATTTATTCACTTGCGAATTGTACATTTATGCTTTCAGAAAAATTGTACATTTAACGAATATATGTTTTTTTTTTTAAAGAAAATGATATCATACCCCATTCCTTTAATATTACTAATAGCAGACGCTTGCATCCGTTGAATTAAATTTGAACGCTCATGATGATATGATCCTATGAGACAAAAATACACCTGATTGCACCAAATCAAATTTATTTAACCAAAATAAAATAAAAATTAAAGTAAAAAAAGTGGCGATCCGATCTCCTCTGTTGCCTTCAGTGAGACGTTGTCGGCGACCCAAATCTGAAAGCTTCAGATCTCGGTGAGTGGGGTTGCCAGGGCAGTGGTCTCGACTCACTCGTGGGTCGCTCCGTCGCGACTATAGCCGATGGAGAAGTCGCGATTCTGGAGTTTGAGGCCGTCACTGTCGGTGGGGAAAGAAAGCTCGTGTTCAGATCTTGTCTGTGGAGAAGGACATCGCGCGGCAGAGGAGAAAGACGGAGGTCGCGATTTCGTCACGGCCCATTGCATTTGAGGTTGCTATCCCGTCGCGACGAAGGTAGCAATTTCGTCACGGCTTGTGCCAAGCGAGGTCCGTCGCAACGGAGATCACGATTCCATCGCAAGGTAGGCCCTCGTCGCGAGCTCCTCTGCCCCTTCTGGTGGGGATCCGCCAAAATTTAGCCTTTTTCTTTTCTTTTTATTATTATCAGATTTTGGGGGTTTCGTAAAGCCATGGCAACGCTGAATTTGAAGAAGGAGAAGAAGAAGAAGAAAACAACCGTCTCGGCGGCAGACAGAGAAAGAGTCAAAGGTTGGACCGTTGGAGCGTTGGAGGGGAAATGAGAAAAGCAGAAATTGGGACAAAAAATGTTATTGGCTTTTTATTCCCATACTACCCTCCTTTTGTTTGGTAAATAACGAAGATACTATACGAAAATGTCGGCAATTAAAAGGGCATTTTGGTAAGAGTGTGGAAACTTGTAGAATAACGCTTTCAAGATTTTACGAATCCTCCCGGGATTTTGCGCCCTTTTTTCTAATAATTTATATAATTCAAAACGACGGAAATAGTATCGAAATTATCCTCTTATATATATTTTCATGTATTTCTTTTTTTTTTTTCTTTTGAGAAAAGATTTTGATTGGAGTCTTGAAATTTCGGGGAATTTTAGATGGATGGTTCAGTGGAAAAAGTCTCAAAATTATTTTTGTACAAAGATTTTCAAAAGTGGGTGATCACTAATCCAAACGTTATTGCAAAAAGTCTCTTTTGAACCAAAAAAATGAAAAAAAAAAAAAAAAAAACAAAACAAAATTCCATTTTCTTTTTTGAATGCGACACGAAACAAAAAAGGTCCAAAAGGTCTATTTCTTATTTTTGTTGGTTTATTATTTTTTTCTAGAATATTTTGGACAAAAAAAAAGAATGATCCCTTTTTAGACAAATTCTTAAGAAATTATTTATTCATTTTTTGCTGCCGAATATAATTTAAATAAAATTGGTTTTGGTAGTACATGCAATATGGTAGAAACTAGAAAGAAAAACCAAACAGCTTTGCATTAGTATGTATGGTTGGCTGTTAATCCTAAGGAAATCATTATTAAGGAAACTTAACACAATTAGTTTTATTAATAATTTTGAATTTATTTTTATTTATTTTCATTTTAGAAAATCTCTTGATTTTAGTCTGATTATGCGCTTATAATGTCTAATTTGATAGTGCTCATTTTTGCCTAACCACCCTAAATCTCTCTTGTCTCTTCTCATCTTTATTTTACTTTCTTAATTATTCAATTTTTATAAATCATCAGGTAATAACTGTCTTTGTCTGTGGAAAGAGAGATAATTTTTATAAATCATCAGCCAAACTCCAAAAATATCTCTTATCTGAACTCCCACTGGTATATCAACTTATCACACTTCACCATACAAGAGAAAGAGAGATCAAAATTCAAGAGAAGAAACATATGGATCAGATCAAACAACAAAACATGATACAACAATTCAAAGGCCACACAAGGTTGCCGAATTTCGCAATCCCGAAAAGATACGATCTTCATCTGAATACTGATCTTTCTGCTTCTACCTTTTCCGGCACTGTTCTCATTGATCTTAAAGTCGTTGAAGCCACCAAAGTTCTTGTTCTGAATTCTCTTGAGCTTCATGTTCATGAAGTTTGCTTCACAAGCTCTTCCAACCAAGTAACTCTTTGTTTCTTGCTTGATCATCTTACATACATATAACTTGTTGGTTTCATTCCGATTTTTATTTTTATTTTTATTTTTTATTCACTGAAGTACCGTCCGAGTGACGTCGTTTTGGACGGCGAGGATGAAATACTTGTGCTGGTGTTTGAGGAAGTGCTTAGTGTTGGTGAAGGAGTTTTGAGGATTGAGTTTTCTGCTGTCCTTAATGAGTACTTAAAAGGGTTCTACAGATGGTGTGCCTTCTCTCTCTCTCTTTTTTTTTTTACTTATTTGTTTGTGATTTCATGAAGTACTTACTTGGATGGAGAGGAGAAGAAGAACATGGCAGTTACTCAGTTTGAAGCTGTGGATGCAAGGCGGTGTTTTCCATGCTGGGACGAACCTGCTCTTAAGGCAATAATTTAATCTACTTTTTGTTTATTACTTATTTTACAACCTTGAAATGCTTGATTTGATTTATTTAGTAATTTAACCTCTTTTTATTTGCAGGCTACATTTAAAATAACACTAGATGTACCACAGGAGTTGATGGCATTGTCCAATATGCCAATTGTTGAAGAAAAGCTTAATGGAAAGGTCAAAACCGTATACTTTGAGGAGTCTCCTATCATGTCAACGTATCTAGTGGGGATTGTTATTGGTCTATTTGATTATGTTGAAGATATTACAGCTGATGGTATGTGTATAATATAAGTGAGATAGGCTATATGTTTTGTGAATTGTAGTGACTTTTTCATGGAGAATTATGTGGTAAGGCACAAAAAGTTATCATTCTGCTACCATCAGATCATCCCAAAACCATATTATTAGTAGAAACGAATGCAGAATTAACGAAATCTATTGAAGGCCTGATGGTAAAAATTAGCGTCGTATTAGTAAGTTAAATTTTCATAGCATACCGAAGAATTCTACTTCTTTCATTCGGTTTTTACAGTCAGGAATTTTGAACTGTGCTGCAGGGGTTAAAGTACGAGTATATTGCCCGGTTGGGAAAAGTGACAAAGGGCAGTTTGCTCTAGAGGTTGCAGTCAAGACACTTGAGCTATACACCAAGTAATATCTAACATGTTTGTTTTGACTAGATTTGAGGAGTTTTACATGCTATGAGGTTCATATGGAAACTGGTTTTATGGTGTCAACTAGGTACTTCTCAATGCGCTACCCGCTCCCCAAGCTCGACTTGGTTGCAGTTCCTGAGTTTGCAGCTGGGGCAATGGAGAATTATGGGTTGATCGTGTACCGTGAGAATGAATTGCTTTATGATCCGTTGCATTCCACAACTGCTAGGAAACAAAGAGTAGGTCTAAAGATCTTTATCATTTTTGAACTTACATAAGAAAGGAACTGACTGCATTTTTCATGTCAGAATGCGATAGTGGCAGCACATGAAGTAGCCCACCAATGGTTTGGTAACCTGGTGACAATGGAATGGTGGACTCATTTGTGGCTTAATGAGGGTTTTGCAACATGGGTAAGTTTTGAGTATTTTAAATCTCAGTAGGAACATGCGCCCTTTATTAAATTTTACACGACTCTGCCACTGTTTGTAAATTATGGTATGCCCACTTGGTCTTGTTACTTGCCAGGTAAGTTATATGGCAACTGATATGTTGTTTCTCCTTTTTTGTTCAGACTGTCATATATATATATATATATATGTGTGTATGTATGTATGTATGTATATATGTATGTATGTATTATATATATATATATATATATATTTTTTTTTTTTTTTCAGGTGGAGATACACCATGCTCGCTCCATTGAGCAAATCTTTGATGCTATCAGCTATAACAAAGGGTCGGCGCTTATCCGAATGCTGCAGAGTTATCTTGGAGATGAGTTATTTCAGGTCTGAAAGCTAATGTCCTCAAGTTTTTTCAGCATAAGGTCGTGTATTTTATCTCTTCATTTGAGTGGCTCCATATTTCAAGCATAAATCTCTGAGTTCATACATTAAAAGATATGTGGGAAAGAATGCAAAGACTGAAGATTTATGGGTAGTTCTTTCAGAGGAATCTGGTATTAAAGTTGAGTCACTTATGGATGCTTGGACCAAGGCAAAAGGATACCCTGTTGTCTCTGTAAAAGCTAAGGGCCATACATTAGAATTTCAGCAGGTATAATTGATTAATATATATCAATCAATATGTATTAAAAATATATCACCTGATAGATTACAACCTACATATATTAAAAATATGCGTGTGTGTGATTTGTGGTCATATTATCTATTGCAGGCACAGTTTCAGTCATCTGGATTACATGGTGATGGACAATGGATTATTCCAATAACCTTGGCCGTTGGTTTGTATGAAAAAAACAAGAATTTTCTTCTGGAAACTAAGTTCGGAGAAGTAGACGTGTCTGATCTGGTTCATTCTGTTGATGGAAATTCTAGTTCATTGAACGAAAAAATAGAATAGCAATTTGGTGAACATTTATGGATCAAAGTTAATGTTGATCAAAGTGGTTTCTACAGGGTAAAGTATGATGATAATCTAGAAGCTCGCCTGAGGAAAGCAGTAGAGAACAACAGTTTGTCAGCTATTGATAAATTTGGTAACCACCTTTTCCAAAATCTTAACAAGATAGGACTGTCTTCTCCTGTTATGTTCATCCGCTAAAGCCTTAGAATAGGGGAGAATTAATCTTGGGGAGTGCTCATCAACGAGATTAGACCAATTCTAGACTAAAATTTCTCTCTTTTTATGTACCAGTTCCTTTTAAATATGCATGAAGCTAATTTTCCCATGAGCTTAAGCTATCTGAATGTATTAAAGACCGAATATATAATGACAATTTTAACAAGTCTAAGGATTTGAACTTAAAATCTCTTGCTCTGATATCATGTTAGTTTACCAGTTACCCCAACAGTTAGTACCGGTTTACTTTACACATCCACTATGCCTGTGTGCTCTTGATTCTTTGCCATTGCGTCCACTGATGCATATAACTAACTACCTTTGGTTTCATGTCAGGCATTTTGGATGATGCATACGCTCTTTGTGTGTCCGGCGAACGATCATTGTCATCTTTACTTTCCTTGATTAAAGTGTACAAAAGAGAGATTGATTATGTTGTTCTGTCAAAACTCATTGATGTACGTAGAAAATATTTCTATATTTCTCATTCCCAATCCCATCTCTTACTTGCAGCAATATGACATGTGATCAGTTTTTGTAACAGATTTGCTATGATGTAGTGGAGATTGTAAGCGAAGCCATTCCGGACATAACAAATGAGCTGAAACAATTCTTTATTAATCTTCTCCTGTTTCCAGCAGAGTAAGAAGAAAATAGTACAAGAACACGAAACTAATATTAGCCCACCTTTTAACAACTTTAAGATTTTTATTTTATTTTATTTATTTATTTATTTTTTTGGGGAGAATCAATAATCTAAGACTTTCATATGTTTTGTGCCTATAACTAAATATTCAAGTGTTGGTCCAACTCTTAGTAAGCTGAGCTTTTGGAAGAATCTTAGTAATAAAGCTAACTCCTTTGCTTTTTGTGACTAAAATTGTTGGTTATGCAGGAAATTAGGTTGGGAAGCAATACCTGGAGAGAGCCACTTCAATAGGCTATTGAGGGGAGAAGTCCTTCGAGCCTTGGCATTTTTGGGCCACGAAGGCACCCACAGAGAAGGATTACAACGATTTCAGTCATTCTTATATGACAGAAACACACCACTTTTATCAGCTGACACAAGAGAAGTAATTACTAATTGACCCTTTTCGCATGATATATTTTTTTTAGGCCTTTTATGAAAAGCTATATACACAGTAATCATTTAAAACTCGTCCATATGTGTGGATCTTAGAAAGTGGTTTATTTGTTCTGCATATGTGTGGGTCTTAGAAAGTGGTTTATTTGTTCTGCAGGCTGCTCATATTGTCGTTATGAGGAACTGTAGCAGCTCAAACAGGGAAAGCTTTGAATCCATATTAGATGTTTATAGAGAACCAAATACGGTACTTCAAGTGAAGGAACAAATTCTACGTAAGATTTTGTTGCCCACTTTTCTCCATCTTTCTTTTTGTTGTTCTTTTTCCATATTTCTGTCGTTTTGTGAGATTTTGGTGTCGTATTTCACTTTTCACGTCGTTTACTCTTTTCAATCGTCTCAAGTTTTATTGTCGTTTTACATTTTGTTTTCCACTTGTCTCATTCATTGTCTCTCTCTCATTTTTTTTTTTCCTTTTTTCCTTTGGCCTTTTTTCTCTTTCATCCTCCTTTTCAAGTTTGATGTTCGTTTATATTTTTAATTTAATGGTTACTTCTCTTGTATTACGTTTTTGTTGTCGTTTTAAGAATTTATTGTCGTTTTTCTGTTTTCTTTGTCACTCATGTCTCTTGTGATGTCGTTATCCATGTTTCTTTCTTATAATTGTTTTATTTAGTGGTCGTTTTATTCATTTTTTGTCGCTTTTCCTTCGACCTTGAACAGGTTGGTTGGCATCGTGTCCAGACCCGAATATAGTTGTTGAGAGTCTCAACTTTTTCGTGTCCGAGGAGGTGCTATTTTTCTTTTGCACAAATTATCTACTTTTAGCATCCTTAATCTATTTGCCACTTGTTTTGAAATTGTCTTATGATTTTCAGGTCCGAGATCAGGATATTACATATGGAATTTATCGTATAAGCTTTGAGTGCCGTGAAGTAGCATAGAAATGGTTGAAGGTATGTTGTACTTCTTGGGTATCAATAATATAATTGACTGTTAAAAAATAAATGTTTGAAGAAACAAATATTAATACCAAATGGAAATATGGAAATATGTGATAACGTTCTCATTTCCAAATGGAAATATGGCAATGAAATAATGCAAAATATTGATGTGCATATAGAGAGAGAAGAAAAGCATGGTATAGGAAATTAGTAATAAGCCCTTATCACAAAGAGTGATATTGAGGCCGGTGATGAATATATATATATATATATATATGTATGTATGTATGTATGTATCTGTATATATGTATAAATATTATTATATTATGCAGGAGAAGTGGGACATGATATTGGCAAGATATGGAACTGGAATGCTACTCACCCACTTCATTGAGGGCATTGTCACTCTGGTAAGCAATTAATCAGCCTATCTAGTCTAGTCTAGAGATAAATGTTCAAGGAGTCCTATGCTTTTATCCGCACATACACATACATAAATTTCCTTTTTTTTTTAATGTGGAATAGAGTACTGTATCAATAATTATAATTTACATATTTACGGACAATACCTAAATATCATATTTATTCAAAACCAAATATTTTTCTTATGCGGTGGTAAAAGATATGTTTTTTATTTTCTTTCTAAAATTCCCAAAATTATACGAAATGTACAATTTTTTACAAAAGTTTTCCACTTTCTGATATTATGCAAGTGTTATTCTGGTATGCAGCTTTGCAGCGATGGAAAGGCTGAAGAGGTGGAAGCATTTTTCGCAAACCGCACATATCCTTCAATTGCTATGACTTTAAAGAAAAGCATTGAGAAGATCCGGATCAGAGCAAGGTGGGTTCACAACATAAGGGAAGAACATGATTCTGATCTTCTACACTTAGTTATGCAATTGGCTGCACCAACAAACTGATACTGCATTGTCACAATTTCAACACTTATGCGTGCTAATTGTATATTCAACAGCTAGGATAAAGAGAGAGAACCACATTTTAGTACTTATAGCAATATTATTGTACATATAATGTTTTATATGCATGAACATTATGTTGTGCTTCAATGGTTCTGATCAACCGGAAGTATTTCGTCTCCAGTGCTAGTTGTATCTTGGTTGATGGAGTATCCGGAATCATATGCTGATGTGATCATGCCATATCTCTCTCCAAGACTGCTAATTCTTTCGTGAACTTGAAGCATTGTTGGCCTTTGATTTGGAAATGGCTGCACACACTCAGTTGCTACTCTTAGGACCTCCATGATCTCATCATCAAATCCTTGTCCACATAAAGATTTATCAATGGCATCGCCAAGAACAAAATTAGGGCCCTTTGAAACATGATTAATCCATTCCACTAAGTTATTGTAAGAACTACTAGTGGAAGAGCCGGCATTGATGGCTTCCCTCCGTGTGAGCAGCTCAAGAAGCACAATTCCAAACTTAAAAACATCATCTTTAACAAAATCTGACTCCCACACCCCACTATTCACAAGGAAACCGGAATCGTCTTCATTCTCATACTTAAACATTACCCCTCCGTGATTCGAAATGATTGTTTGGCCAAAATTCGATATCTTAGGCTCGAAGTGATGGTCTAGGAGGATAGATTTGGAGCTTATCGCACCATGGACTAGACGAAAATTGCAACCATGATGGAGCCATGATAAGGCTCTGGCAATTCCAATGGCGATTTTGAGCCTCAGAGGCCATTCCAGGATTTTAGGCTCACCATGTAACAAATCATGGAGGTTCCCATTTGACATGTGCTTATACACCAAGAGCATTTGGTTCCTCTGTGTGCAGAAACCCAATAAGGGGACTATGTTGTCGTGTTTCAGTCTAGACAAAGCCAAAAGCTCAGATAAAAACCGGCTCTCGAATTGTAAGGAGTTGTTGAACCTCTTAACCGCAAGAAACAAGCTATTTTGAAGAGTGGCCTTGTACATTGGCCCTGTCTTTCCCATTCCTATGATGTTGTCCGTGCTGAAATTGTCTGTTGTCTTGCAGAGTTCCGCCAAGCTTATCCTATTAACTAATATTTCCAGTCCGGGAATCTGTAAAATTTAGACATCAGGATAACTGCTCATGAACGCTTTAGTTGAAATTTTTGGCTAAAAAATTGAAACTCAAAGTTTTTATAAGACAATATTTTAAACGCAAAAGGAGATTCAAATTTAAGCCATATACATATATATAACACATATACCCGTGTGTGTAAAACATATAAAACTATTGTTGGATTATCGATTCTCCCAAAAGTTTAAGATATAAGGAGGTGGACCAACAACAGTTTTATGCACTCTTTTTCAGTTCTGAAGCTAAAAAAAATCTTAAATATTTTTAGAAACTAATTATTTTTAAAAAATGAATAACGATGGACCAATATAACTTTAACTACAAAGTCAAGTCATTTTAAGCTAACTAAGCATAAAATGACACATTCCAATAACCTTTGAAATACTAGCAAGAATGGTACTACTATATAGTGGAGAGAAAGATGAATACCTCGATCTTGTGATTCAACGTTGGATAGTGAAATAGCTCATCAGCTTCTTCTTTTGTTCTGACCCAGTTTTGCAGCCTGTGAAGTACCATAATCTTCAGTTGCAACCAAGAGAAAGAAAAGTATATGAACAAAACTGCAGCTGATACCACGTAACCACTTATAAATCCTATTTTGAATGAATCCAATTTTATCTCATGAGCTGAGCAAGGCTCCAAAGGCCCCCCGCAGAGTTGCGGATTGTTTGCGTAGCAGTTATCATTCGTGATCTGTCCGGCCGGGAAATCAGGAACTCGCCCTGACAACAGATTGTTCGACACGCTAAACTCTCTGAGCCTCGTAAGTAGACCGAGTTCCTCAGGCAAATTACCGGTGAGTCGGTTGTGATCAAGCCTTAGGACATTTAGATAAGTACAATTTGCAAGGTTTTTTGGGATTTCACCCGAACAGCTATTGGAGGAAAGATCGAGACTTGTCACGAAGGGGAGCAACATTGATATGTCAGACGGGATGGTGCCTGCGAGTGCGTTATTGGAAAGGTTCAGACCCATTAAGCTTGTGCAGTATCTAATTCCCCTGGGGAAAGTGCCCTTGAGCCCCATACCGGAGAGGTTGATATTAAGGACCTTGTTCTCATCAGGGTGCCAGCACTCTACCCCTTTAAATCTACAGATGGAACCTTCCGTTTGGTTGTTAAACTTCCATGAGTAGCTTAAGTGACCAAAAGGGTCTTCAAAGGAAGCTTTAATAGCTTTCAAGCAAGGGATATCATCCCCGAGAGCAAGGCTCGCATCGACCGAACCTATGAACAACACAAGGAACAAGTGGAGAAAAGCAAGAGCTGTATTGATTTTGAGGGTCATATTGGTGTATGTGTTCGACCACAGAAGTGGCAACAGTACTAAGAAAGCAAGAAGGATATAGTGCTACCAAGACAAGCAGGTACTCAAAGTCAAGCAAAATGTGTGTGTGTATATATATTTCCGAATCAATGTTATGTTGCCCATTGGAAACGTTTTAGCTAGTTTTGTCACGGTCGGAACTTGAAAGGAAAAGGGCCAAAATTAAATGTTGTCTGCAATGTTACCATGCGTTGACTCACAGGTCATATATGGCGTGCTCTAAGGTCTTTATTTGCTGTAACAACTAAGGGGTTGTTCTTTTAGAGTGTAATTTGAGTGTAGTTTTTGAGTTAAATTTGAGTTATAACTTGAGTTGAAGTTGTAACTTGAATAAAGTTGAGTAAAGTTAAAAAAGTTGAAACTTAAGAGAACGTGAACTTAAATAAAGTTTGAACTCAAATTGTCTTTTTTTCTGGTGGTAAACAATATTCAATGCATACAGCGATACCCGAAAGACAATCCAAGCTAACAAAGCAAATTTTCCAAGTGAAAGCTAACAAAGCAAATTTTCCAAGTGAAAGCACGAGTTCAGTAGCAAATATATATATATATATATATATATATATACACACACACATATAGTGATGAATTCAGGAATTTTTGTCAGAGAGCTAATAACTATAACAAAATTTAACAATATATGCTTATCGAACTTGATCACAAATGTTAGGATGATACTCAAAAATGAGAATTCGTAACTCATGATCGGTTTCTAATTCTTTAAGATTAAAATCCACCTAACTTGATTTAATAGCATTGTCATTTTTTTTTCTTGTAGTAATTAAAGACTCTTCAAACTTTCTTTCAGAAAACCTTTCAATCATTGTCAATCAATTGCCGCCTAAATAAATAAATAAATAAATATATATATATATATAGTTACAATCATCAATCCATTCTTATTTTTATTAAAAAAATCAACATGCGAACATAATAAGTATTGTGTATTTAAGTAACCAAACTTATAGTATATAAAAAAAAAAAAAAGAAGGAAAAAAAAACACTAATCAAACCCTATTTACAAAACAATAATGATTATACTCAAATTTCTTGAAAAAATCAATTATAAACTATGTAATATTTAAGTAACCAAACCTATAGTGTGTGTGTATATATAACACTAATCAAACCCTATTCACAAAACAATAATAATTATACTCAAATCTCTTGAAAAATTCAACTATAAACTATGTGATATTATAACTTAATCAAATGAAAAGAAGTACAAACGACAGCAAACTAACACGCCATTGAAATAGTTAAACAGCGAAAGATTTAATCAAAATGAAAAAGACAAATGAACAACGGCAAACGAAATTGATACCAAAACGACGTAAGGAGAGTAAAACCTTACCAAAGGCCAAAAATGACAATAAAATTTTTAAACGACAAAGAACAGAACTTTAACGTTCAAATGAGAAACGACAGAAATACATAAAACGAATTAGAAAAACGACAATAAATACCTACTTTCTAAAAGCGAGGCAGACTGGCAGGAAGATGTGCTCCTAAATCCTAATGGTGCGCATTCTTATAAGACAACCAAACGACAAGAAACTAAAGAAGAAAAATTATAAAATCGTTGAGCGACATTAAAGAGAAGAATAACAGTTAAAAGTGAAAATATGAAAAAAAAAAAAAAAAACCACAATAAGGATGTAAATGACGACAAAATAAAGAAGAATGGAATTTGATATCAAGTGCTAAACAACAAGAGTTCTGAATCATCGAGAAAATAATAAAACTACAGTAAAACAGAAGAATAGCTGCAAAATAAAATAGACCAAGATATGTAACATAAAAACGATAGGAATTTCGTAAACAACAACCACTAAAAATAAAAATAAAAAAATAAAAAAATTCTTAAATAAAGACAAAGTGAAGGACAGCATAAAACGATAATAAATACTTAAGCGGTAACAGACAAAAACGTTATTAAGATATGTAAGCAACAAACAAACAAAAAACCACACTAAAATAGTTAAAATGAGACGAACAAAAGAACTACTCTACTAGAAACGACAACGAGCCGAATAAACATGAAAAACGACGATGAATTATAAAACGACATTGAATTTATTCATACGAGATCAATAGCTATAACTTTATTTCAATTGAATAAATTGTTATTTTAAATAAATAAGTAAATAAACTTGTGAGAAATTGTACATTCTCAGAATAATTGAATCATTATTTTCAAAGTAATTGTGAAAGAAAAGAGATACATAAACACTGGATTTGGGTTCGGAAAAAGGAAAGGAAAAAGAATAAGAATAACAAGAAAAGAAAAATTTAAAAAGAAAAAAGGGAAAGTGTGAACTGGAAGACACGTGTAAGGTAAGAATTGGTGTCTATTTTTATTTCCATGAATCCTTAATTTCCAACAGTTAATTGCTTATCCGTCGCGAAGGAGGTCACGATTCTATCGGAAGTCATAGTAGTCTTTTTTTATTTTTTATTTTTTCGTTTATCTGCTAATTAAAGATGTACCGAATATATGTTGTTCTATGCCTAGCTGGTTCGGCTAATTTCCATTAGTTAATTGATCTACGGACTTTAAAAAAAATACAAACATCATTTAACTGATTTAAATTTTTAATTTTAATTTTATTATAAAAATTTTTTATAAAAAATTACATTTAACTTTTTTAATTATAATTAAATTTTTTTTTTCATAAAATCATATCCTAATTTAAATTAAAACTTTAAATTTTATGATTTAGTTTAAAGGTTGTATGTCTAGTTATGTTGGAGTAAAACAAACGATGAGGAAAGATTATTATGCCTGTAAAGAACAAATAATGCATCAAAACATGTAAGATTGATATTTATCCTTGCATCTAATGGTTCATTTGGACATATTAAAACCAACTTAAGTATAATAATTTGGAACACAAAATCAAAACTAAAATTAAACAGAAAACAAGTCCCATAGAAGTAAAGTTCATAAAAACTCATCTTAAAAGCTCGTTAGAAGATTTTATTAAGGTCCTGTTCATTTCGTCGATTTGAGTTTTCAATTCTAAATTTATAAAAATTCTCAAAAAATGTCACATTTAACTTATTTTACTACAGTTAAAAACTCTAAAAAAATGTCATATCTCAACTCGAATTGAAAACTCAAATCCGTAAAGCGAACGAGACCTAACTTTTCTTCATTAGGTCATGATCACTGAGTGAGAGGAGGTATTGAAACTAAAACATCAAATTTGAAGAATGTTGTAATTTAAAAAAAAAAAAGTAGTGGTTATTACTATTTTTTTTTCTTATGAAAAACTCAAACTACGAAATATATTATTATAATTATCCCTAATCAAAATTATGACGACTAATTTTTCTTTCAGTAGAGGATATTATAGAAAATGACCTTGACGGTTGGTTGAGGCTTTGAGGGGTTAAAAGTAACCATGCCTGAAGTTTCTTTGCTATTGTTTACGGAAATGATAGGGTTATTATGAAATAGAAAATAATGCATAATTAGAAAATAAAAACGCATACTCTGAAAGAATATCTTTTAATCTTTGGTAAAAAAAGATTCAAAAGAAAAATCAAGATTTCCGGTGGTTGTATTCACATGCGAAAGTCTTAACTAGTCCAACCTCTTATCATATATTAAAGTGAATAAAGACAGATAAATGGTCTGCATGTAAGCCTTCACCAATTGTACCTAGATACTTGATTTTTATCATCATCAAATTGAAAGTGAAAATATAACAAACAAACAAAAAAATTGTACAAAATGTTTTTTTTAGGGAAATTGTTTAAACAGTTGATTATAAGGCTTAATCACCAAGTTGGGTAAAGTTTTTCTATAATGGTTTTTCAAGTTGGTGGCGACTTAAGAAAATGATTTGGTGATCTAGTTATCTAATTAGTATGATGCTTATATTATAAGTAAGATGAGATGGATGCGTTTGAGTTCCAAAAAAAAAAAAAAAACAGAGTGATGGATCCCAAATTAAAGTCTCACCATACAACTAATTAGCATTTAATTGATTCTTAAAAAAAATAGAACCTAATTGGAACTGGTTATTTACTCTCTTTTTTTGTGTTAGTTTCACTTTTGAAGTTTACATATGAGCATCCTTAATATTCCATTAAAACAATATCTCCGTTAAGATTATTTGATTAAAAAGTTCACTATTCTTCTTTTAAAAAAAAAAAGGAAAAAAAAAATTGCACAATTTAGTAGACACAGATAAAAAGAATCTTGGCCAGCTGTATTTATTGTTTTTATTGTTTCAGACCTCAGAGATGCTATCAATGCAAGAAATCAATCTCAAGAATCACTGATGTACGTCGTGTGCTTCTAAAGAAAAACATTTGAGGCAAGACTTTTGACCGGTAATTTTCCTTTTTTTTTCACTTTTTATTTCGGACTAACTTTTATTTTAACCATCTGTTTAGTTTATTAATTTGAGTTTTTAATTTTAATTGAGATATAATTTTATGTGAGAATTTTTTACTGTACTAAAAAAATTAGATGTGACTCTTTTTTAGATCTTTTTATTATAACAGAACTCAAATTCTAAACTCAAATTAGTGAAATGAACGGGAGCTTAAGAAACTCTTTCTAGTGAAATAAATAGAAGAAATTCTGTCCATCTTTAGAACTACAAAACGTCAAAACAAGCATTTGCTTCTCAATTTTTGGTTGATAACGCCTTCCAATTTTCGCTGATGTTTGGTATTTAACTTTTTTGTAGCTGTCATCTATAGGCAAGATAATGCTTAATTTTGATAACCTCATTGATATTTGGATTAATTACAAAAATTTCTCTCGAATTATAATTCTTATAACACTTTATTCTCTAATTTTTAAATGTAACATTTATTCCTCCTGAATAATAAAAAAATTAACAAAAAAACCCCATAGGCTAAATTTTTAATGAAAATTGACCTTTAATTAATTATTTTAAGGGTATTTTAATAACATTATGGTTTAAATTTAATATGCATTTAAAACTAATTTAAATTTGGACTTTTAATCATTAAACATCCATCATTAATCGTGTCATTGGGAGTGAAGAAAAATTGTTTTTTAATTATATTGTATGTAAATTAGACTAAAAAATTAGTATGCGTGGTATAAAATAGCAATTGTGCTCTAAATTGTTTAATTAACAACAACTGTTATTTACGTGACACCTGTCAAAAACTGTTACATTTCTTAACGGAGTGGGCATTTTTATTATCGTTTCATTGTTCAGGGAGAACAAATGTGACGTTTTAAAGATAAGAGAGTAAAGTGTTACAAGAGGTATAATTTAAGAGAAATTTTTATAATTAATCCTTGATCTGTTATATTTTCAAATAGGATGTACACTTTTTCTTATTCTCGATGAGTCTCATATGTTGGAATATTTTTGTGTGCACTATCATAATTATTAATAATTTTTTTAGTCAAATAACTATATTAGTTAAAAGGGTAATTTTTAAGAGAGACGGGTAAAAATTCAGATGTATAGACTTTCAAGGTGAGTTCAACAATTTTCTCTTCATTTAATAATAAGAAAAAAACAACAAAAAAATAATAACAAACAATTGTCATTCAATTTAAAAAGAGAACAAAAAATTAAAATGACACCTAATTATTTAGATAGCATATATATAGCTTTTACAAAAGGAGAAAGGACACAAATATCTCGTTAAAATGTATGAATCTAAATTTTTACTTTTATTCTTAATTACTATCATTTTAATTACATAACTATATTAATCAAAAAATTATTAATAAAAAATAAACGGTAAAAACTAAAACTCATTAATCATGAACTTTTCTCTTAATATTCTCTCATAATACTTTTGGTCTTGGGCCGAAAGACCCAAACCATGAGACTACAACACTTTCACTTGCTTCAACCCAACACCCCCCACCGAAAAAAAAAAAAAAAAAAAAAAAAAAAAAACCCTTTAACCTTTTCCCTTTCTCAACCCCCCCCCCCCCCCAAAAAAAAAAAAAAAAAAAAAAAAAAAAAGCCCTTTTCCACATGCTTCAAATTAACAGTTGGTTTATGAAGTAATTACACATGCCTCATTCACTTTGCGGATTCGAGTTTTCAATTTAAATTGAGATGTGATATTTTTTAAGAATTTTATACTATAGCAGAAAAAGTTAGATGTGACATTTTTTAAGAATTTTTTACTATAGAAACCTAAAACTGAAACTCGAATCGGTGAAATGAACGATTTGATAAATTGTCCATTAGTCTATTGCTTAGATGCGTTCTACCAAATTGGTTGCAGGGCAAATCCATTTCTGTTTGAAAGCTGTTCTTTAACCGGTTGATGTTCACAGAAGCAGATTAATGTTAGGATAAGCGCCTCACCCAATCTCATATCATCATTAATTAAAAATTAGAAAAAAAAAAGAGACAAATATACGATTTAGAGTTTTACTCTCTTACTTTTAATTATTATTTTTGTTAATCAAATAACTATATTAGTATTCTCCAATACAATGTTATTTATTGTGTTAAATTTATCTTATTTTATATTTTGTGATAAATTTCTCACTAAATATAGCATATGAGAAATTTAACATTTGATTTCTATTAATTGAAATGTTTATTTTTTTTCATGTAATCAATACAACTTTTGTATTTTCTAATTATTTTAAACATGAGATTTTACTTTTACAACTTTTAAATCTTAATAATTATGGAAAAAGTAAATTTAATATCTCAAATAACATTGTGTATTTAAGTAAAAATAAAAACAGCATATCATATTACATTTTTTTGATGATAAATATACAATTGACATTAATATTTACATTAGAAATGATGTTATGATAATTTTTTCACACATATAATAAAGAACAATTACTATACGAATTATCAATAAATTATATAAATTTAATTTCTTACCATGTCATAAAAAGGTTTACATGCCAAGATTCTTTATAAGCACCTGTCCGAACACTCTAATTATAACCCCACGTCTCGCCGCTCCAATCACGACCTTTGAGTTTTTTTTTCCTTCTTATTATTTTATGATTTTTTCATCCTATTTGGAAAATAATCTAAAAATGAGTACTTGCACAAATAGTCCATTTCTAATACTATATATTTAGTATAAAATCCTCAAAAAAGATGAAGTTCCTTGAATGTTTAATTGTACAAGGATTTATGTACTCAGTAGTTTCTAACACTTGTTTTTAAAGTGTTTAAATAATTTGTCAGTAGGCTTTAGAGTTTGACTTATCAAAGACACAAGAGGTAGAATAAAAAAAGCATAAGTCATGAATTTTTAATTAGTATTTAAATAGTACATAAAAAAGAACTTTATTATTTCAAAAGAATTTTTGAACGTATTTGATAAATAAATCAAAAATTCTTATTGTTAAAAAATAATATAAAACAAGAATATAAATAAAATTTTTAATTTTTTGTTTCTAAATAAAAGGTTAAAAATGTAAATAAAAAAATTTTATAAGCACCTTTTTCGTACGCACATAGGAGGTAATTTGTCCCAAAAAAAAACTTATAAAAGTCAAAAATATTTTTATATCGTCTATTCAAACAGGCTCAAAATCAATTTTTAAATGGGAGAAAGCTGAAAATAGGTTAAGATTTGAGATGAATTAAAATTAATAGGTCAATAGTTTACATAAGTTAATAAATAGGTCAAATTACTATTTTCGTCCATAATTTGTCTGGTTATGAACCATAACTTGATAAGTTATTGTCCATAATTTATCTAGTTATGAACTATAACTTGACAAATTTGTCCATAACTTATCTAGTTATGAACTATAACTTGACAAGTTATGACCTATTAATTTTTATAATTAAAAATTAACCTATATACTTTCTTAAACTTTTTATATTGATCTATTTCTTACTATTTTCGTTTTTAAATTAAATAATTCAAATTTTTTTTTAAGCTAATCTAAAGAGGCTCTAAAGATTCTTACGTAAACTTTTCTAATTGGATTTGACACTCACATTCAACCCTTGCAAGAAAAAAGTTAGTTTTGACCCAACAAAAACAGAAGCTTTACCAGCGGGCCCTAAGTAGCAATCATAAATGAAGTACTAGAGCATTCTTAGCATTCTAGAAGATAGAGAATAAGTCCACCCTACCTCAACGGCTCCCACTTCCATGGTAGAGTCTGTTTAATTCAGTAATTTTTAATTTTAATATTTAAAATTTAATTTTTAAAAAAAAAATATATTATAACATAATTAAAATTATAAATTTAAACGCATAAAATAAATAAATATTAAAAATTGACAACATTAACAAGAAAACTATCTCAATTAAGACATTGTCACTTTGTGAGTTTCAGACCATAAATAAATTTAATAATGCAAGAGACGAGAATTCAAATATTAATTTTTATATATTAGCTTATGTGACATATAAATTATCATTTTTAAATTAATGAGTGTTTAAAATATTACACTTTTTAATGATAAATATACAATTACATTAATATTTACATTAAAAATAATCTTATGGTAATTTTTTCACACATATAATAAAGAACAATTACTATACGAATTATCAATAAATTTTATAAATTTTATTTCTTACCATGTCATAAAAAGGTTTACATGCCAAGATTCTTTATAAGCACTTGACCGAACACTTATAACCCCACGTCTCGCGAATCCAATCACGACCTTTGAGTTCTTTTCCTTCTTATTATTTTATGATTTTTTTTCCTCCTATTTGGAAATGAATCTTTTTAGTACATTGACAGCTAAAAATGAATACTTGCACAAATAGTCCATTTCTAATACTATATATTTAGTGTAAAATCCTCAAAAAAGATGAAGTTCCTTGAATGTTTAATTGTACAAGGATTTATTCACTACTCAGTAGTTTCTAACACTTGTTTTTAAAGTGTTTGAATAATTTGACAGTAGACTTTAGAGTTTGACTTTATCATTAGAGATTTCGGTCAAAGACACAAGAGTACAGGCTTATTAGTTTGTGCTTTTACTTTTAAGCAGTAGAATAAAAAAAACATAAGTCGTGAATTTTTAGTTAGTATTTAGATAGTACATAAAAAATAGCTTATTATTTTAGAAAAACTTTTGAACATATTTGATAAATAAGTCAAAAATTCTTATTGTTAAAAAAATGATATAAAACAAGAATATAAATAGAATTTTTAACTTGTTGTTTCTAAATAAACGAACAACATTGACAAGAAAACTATCTCAATTAAGACACTGCCACTTCATGAGTCTCAGACCATAAATAAATTTGATAATGCAAGAGACGACAATTCAAATATTAATTTATATCTACTAATAGAAATTATACAAAAATTGATATTCTTAATATCGTCACGTCAATTAATAATAGAAATTATATCTACTAATAAAAAATTGACAACTCATTACCACATCAATTAGTATACAAAAATTAAAATTTGAATTGATGTTCTTAGCATTATTCAATAAATTTTAAGAAGCCTCATAATGCTTCCCTCTAACATGATTTTGCTTTCATGCATTAAGAATTTAAGATTATGTTTAGTGAGAACGAAACCATGTAGATTCTCCACTTCCAATAAAAATAAATGAAAAATGCCGGATGCCCTAACATTTTCTTGTGCCTTGTCTCCTTCAGACAATAAAAGAAAAAAAAAAAAAGGAAACAATTTATCCTTTTGAGCTACTTGTCATTTGGCAGTTTCTAAAGCTCATTAGAATTTAAGTCGCGAGACACAATTACACCAATATTCAGTCCAAACATTCTCTATCTACATTATTTAAGCCATTTTGCATTTCATTCTCCTTTTTGTTCTATCATCAATCATTACACCATTGAAATTCCTCCAAAAAAAAAAAAACAAAAAAAAAAAAAAGGCTGATGATGAATCTAATCCGACAATCTACTCTCTCCTCTACCATAAAGAAGTGAAATAGGGGAAGCAGCAAAACTAGTGTCCAAATCCCTATTATTAGCCCCAAAGGAATACGACTTGCTCAACCCGTCAAACGACGATGAAGGAAACGACTGCAAGAAATCATCAAACCCATCGTGATCAACACCCAAATGATCTTTCCTCCCATCAAACTCCCCATTTGGATTCCTCACCTCCACCGGTACGGAAACCTCTCCTTCCAAGTACCTCACAACCTGCCTCATACTGGGCCGGGCCGAAGCAACACTGTTCGAGCACATCAAGCCCAACTTCACCACCATCACCGCCTCAACGACGTCGTATTCCCCCTCCAACCTCTTGTCCACAATCTCCGAAACATTCCCTTCTTTGTACTTGTCCCAAACCCAGTCAACAAGAACAAGCTCCTCCGGGCTCGATTTGGGCTCAATGGGCCGTCTCCCACAGGCCACCTCCAACAAAAGGGCCCCAAACGCAAAAACATCAGAGCCCGCCGTGGCCTTGCCGGTTCTAGGGAACTCCGGCGCCAAATACCCCAAAGTCCCAACTACACGTGTCGTGCTCATATTGGCTCCATGGTCATGAAGCCTCGCTAATCCGAAATCCCCTAAACGGCCGTTTAACTCGCCGTCCAACAAAACGTTACTGGCCTTGACGTCTCTGTGGATGACGACCTGCTCGAAGCCCTCGTGGAGGTAGAGAAGCGCCGAAGCGACGCCGTTTATGATCTTCATCCGCTGCTCCCAACGCAGTGTCGTTTTCGGCTCATCGAAGAGGAATTTATCCAAGCTTCCATTCTCCATAAAGTCGTAAACCAAAAGAAGGTCACCTCTACGACGACACCAGCCCATGAGCTGAACCAAATTCCGATGTCGTAACCGGCCAATACTCGCGATCTCAGACACAAACTCCCTAAGACCCTGTTTGGATTCATGAGATATTCGCTTTACTGCAACTACGGCTTTCGACTTTGGAAGCTTTCCTTTGTAGACTCTCCCAAACCCGCCATATCCCAAAAGCTCTTTCTCTCTGAAGTTCTTCGTCGCCTTTTTCAGCTCTTTGTAAGAATATCTATGTGGGCCTACCTCAAATTCCCATGTCTCGATCGGATCAGCGTTTTTTATCTTCACAAAGAGATAAACTGCGAGAGAAATCACAGAAATCAGTAGAATAAAGGACGACACCGAAACTCCGATGGTTAAATCAGTGTGACTCTTCTTCGGACCCGGAAGGTGAGGAAGAGAAGATAAATCTAAAGTTTGAGCTTCGCCATTGATCTTGAAGCTCCAACCCAAGATGTAATGAGAACTCGCGAGCAATCCCGTGGAACCGGAAAACCCGACGTACATGAATTCCTCAAGAATTACAGAAAGATCGATTTCGGAAGACAAGAGAGGAACCTTCGGTTTGTTTCCGGAAGGAGAGATCGTTACGTTGAGGAGATTCCGATCGGAGTCGTAATCAATCCAAGCCTGAATGGCTTTCCCGTTGAGGCTGAAGTTCCGGCTCTCCGAAACGGCGTCGTCGAAGTAGGCTGCGGCGGCCGAGAAGGTGGAGTTGAGGCTGTTGAGGTCGACTCCAACATGGTTGTCGTTTATGTCGCCGAATTCGAAGTCCTGGACGGTGTCGAACTCGACGGCGAAGAGATGGTTCGAGAAGTTTCCGCTGCTGTCGCTGGCGTTGAGGAGTCCGAGGTACTGGCTAGGAAGGGCTTTGAGGTCTATGGAAGGGACGATAGTGAAGGCTAAGCCATGTCCGCCGAGTTTCGGGTACTCGGGGATTATGGTGAAGGCGAAGCAGGTCGAGAAGGAGAAGGCTTTTCCGGTGGAGGAATTCTTGAAACGAAAGGGAGAGCTAGAAAAGGCATGGCCCGTTACCCTTCTGCTGTCGTTTGTCAGCCTCAGGATGCCGTTTTGCTGAATCTCCGCGTTTCCGGTCAGAGTGAGATTGGTGTTGTTGGGGGTCATGTGTTTGAAGCCGGAGTAGAAAAGAGTAGTGTCGGTGTATTGGGATGATGTTTGGGTGGTGAAGAAGAACAAGATTAAAGTGAGAAAATTAGTTGTGAAGAAGATGAAAAACATGAAATGGTTTTGGTTTTCCATGAGTAAAGGAATGGAAAGTTTTGGTGGAGAAAAGGGTTGGCAAAAGGAGATCTGAAATAATGGAGAAGGGGAGGTTGGGAAAAGGGGTTTTGGAGGGGCCTAAATGAAAAAGATTTTTGGTGGAAGGACAATTAAAATGGATCACATGGTTCTATTCCTTCCTTCTTCGTTGCCGATGAGGTTTATCAGAGTGGTGGTGTTTATGTATTAATGAGAGCATTTAATTAAAGCTAAAGGTGCGATGTGTATTGGTATTATAATTTAAATCATAATTCATAATTTATTATAATATTTTTTTTATAAAAATTATATATAAATTAAAG